TGACCTTTTTCAGACACATAAGTCTCTAATAGTATAACAAAATAAAATTCAAGGACAGAGTAACCTCTTCTCAATATACAGGTAACTAACTGCATGCATGTAAACAACGCTCTTGCATTGCACAGTGAACGGTTTGGTGGACAGAATTTAACATGTACACTTGTTTCAAGCTCTTCTTCAGTAGTAAAATATTACATTTGGCTCTTTATGATTAATGACTATAATGATAGTTGCAAAACGATCCATCATTTCCAAACTGGCACTAACAGTGGTTTTCCTCTCTGTAACTTTGGGTATAAGCCTCCACGGTGCAAACGTTTGCCTCTCTGGCACACTATCCTTATCTCTCTAACTCTGTGTGTGTGTGTGTGTGTGTGTGTGTGTGTGTGTGTGTGTGTGTGTGTGTGTGTCTTTCTTAACAACCTAATGTTACACACTCTCCATACCTAGAAGGGGAGACAAAAGCTTAACCGACAGACCTCTTGGTTGAATATGGTAATACTTAAGAAATTTAATTTCTCTGCCCTTTTTCTAGTTCAGGGAATATTAAAATAGCCAGAGGGGCTAAAATGAAAAGTCTTTAATTTGATAGCTTTTCTTGGCTGAATCTCCAATTTAATACCTGGAGTTTCTGGCAGGCTGGAGACTGCTGCAGTAGCCTGATGACTGACAGATTAATTCACACACTGGTAAAAAGAACAAAAAGCCCCTCCAGTGTGGATGTGGACCAGAAGAATAATGCTTTTGGACAGGACTCACCATTATAGCTGGATCTCTGATATCTAAGGCATAACTGTCATCCACAGCGTTCACAGGTAACCTCAGCAGCTTGCCCTGATGTTCTCCTTTAATGCCCAGGTTATGAAGCCCCTCCAGGACCCTGGCCTCTCCTCTGAGGATGTCTAAAATGCTGTAAAAAAAATAATCCACAAGTTAGTTTTTCTTTTTCATACAAATTAGCAGTGAGGTTTTGCGGTGCACTAAACTTTGATCTTGTTGCAACAGGATTACTGAGGCAGAGCAAAAGGTCTGCGGCTCCCTGGGGAGAGCAGAGACATACCTGCTCTCCCCTGCTGTGTTCCTACCTGAAAGGGTTGTGAACGTCCAGATCAATGTGGAGTCCGTTGATGAAGAGCTCCCCGTCTCCCGGATGAACACCAACGGTCTCAGCGAGACGCTGAAAGAAAAAGCTCAACGTTTTTAAGCCGAATGCCAAAACCCTTTCTACCTTTAATGTCTGATGTTTCCACAAGAAAATAGGTGCAGAGGATAAAGCTGTATTCACAAGGGATTAAATGTCCGTTAAGAAGAAGGGGGAAAAAAAAATGTCACATCTGATGTTGTTTAACACAGATTAGTAACTCATAGTTAAAATAAAATGTGTGCAATGGCTAAGGATGTTCTTAAAGACAGCCTCCTGCACTGTAATGTGGAAACACGGCTTATTACAGTATAGCGCACCTTTTGGTTCTCCTCAATTTCTTTTCTCATTTCCTGCTTCACGGCCACTCTTGTCAGTGATCTGTGGGAACAGTAAAACATGTACAGTCACCATCAGCTTTTACCACATCCCAAGCAGGCAATAAAATGCCAGTTTTAATCTTCAAAAATCTGTCGGCCCTCAAGATGGTCAATTCCCTATAAACACCTGACTCTTACTCAGCACTTTTTGGAGTTATTACAAACTGCCTAAGCAAAGATAAGCCAACATCAACAAGCTGATTCCATCTCTGTATGCGAGTTGTATTTATTGTGGATAATGCTCAAATGAATGGTTTAACAGAAGACATATTTCATGTGCACATTAATAACAGCGTCTGTTGTGCCTCCATTCACACATTGTAACACAGAGTAGGCTTCTAACAATATGGATTTTGGAATGGTCCCAAATGTGTTATCCAGTCGGCCAGAAAGAGAAAATCCGATGAGCTTTCAGACCTGGCTTTGCTTGGGAAGTTCTGACTGAGGTCTCGCATGAGCTTCAGAGCGTCGTACTTTGGCACGGACAGGATTCTGGCAGCTGCCTGGACACTCAGATCTGTGGAGATCAATCAATTCATCAACATTTACAAATGCACATTATATTTAAACAAATGAAACACATGAAATGGAAATGTCACTCCATATGCAGTGTTCAGTCGAAGACAATAACACAACAAATAAATAACCACCAGTCAACAATAGCATTATAATATGCAGCAAATCTAAAACAAACTAATTAACATTGGATTCATTCATATGCATTCTAAATGTATATATTTCTTTCTTTTTATGAGCCCTGAACAACTCAAACAGAAAATAGATACCTTGCATTTCCCACACTTTGAGAGGAACCATGTCGTTGGTACTCTCCAGGAGATGTTTTCGAAGCTCGACAAGATTCTCCTGGAGTTCAGGGTGAGCTTTCCTTAAGAGAGGAAAAACAAAAAGGAAGATACATATACAAATATGTTTTCATCATTAAGTCACCAAAAGAACATCACAACACCAGAAAGTGCAACAGAGAAAAAGTATTTTGGGTAAAATGACATGTTCCACTTTAGCAACTCACTTTAACGTTCCAAAGACGAACCCTTGGACTTCATCGGTGTTATCATCCTCCGCGTTTACAAGTGAATCTACAAAGCACAAGATGTTAGTTGTATTGCCGTGGACTCAGCTGAGTCCAGCACAGAATGTTTGATAAGTCACAAAACTGACCTTTTACTTTGGTGTCATCCACAGCTTTGTATTCAGTGCTTTTGATAGCCAGCTCAACAGCGTACCCAGATAAAAGCATCTTTTGAGGCTTTGGATTCTGCGAGCAGCGGGAAGCGGAGAAAAGGCTTTAATGAAAAGATTTCTGTTTTCATGCTTTCTGTCAAAAGGTACTGTGATAATAGACTGCAGACACATCCCATAGGAAATGCTGTCTGCCTATACCTATATACAACTGAATAAAAACATGATGTAAACAGCTGTTCTTATTAGTGGGTTTAGCTGGCAGGCAAATCAAATCAAGCATACAGACATTATGCTCTCCATTCACAGACATTGGGAGTGGAGTAGGTAACAGTAAAGATACTTTCAAAGAGGCACTGTGATAAGATTTCTTCTTTAATAAGATAATTACATTGGTGGTCTGCTAGATATTGCTACAGTACGCTGTAAGTGCTGTTATTGTGAAACAGAAATGCCTAGGAGCAACAACAACTTAGCTGCACAGCAGTAGGTTGAATGCTGACGCACAAAAATTGGCTTTACTTGAAAGTTGCAGCAGTCACTACAGATTTCCAAAATGCCTCCTGAAGCAACGTCAGCACATGATCAGTTTAGTGGGCATAGGTGCAGGAGCCCACCCAAACAAAACGCCATGTGTTGAACTGAAGGAGAAGCTTATCATACTATAAAGCAGCTGTGGATAGCTTTTGCTGTAAGACCCTTTATAAACCGATGCAGACTTGTACTGACTTTTCTGCTTTAACCACATTACATATTATTCTTTGCCAATTTGGTCAGTATGTGGATTTAAATAACATAGATTAGGCATGTATCCGTTGCTGCCTAATGTTTCTAAACCACTGTTAGTAAGGGTTATGAATGTACAGATCCAACTTGCCACTTGCCTTCAAAAGGAGCCACTTCTTAATCGTACTTCAGGACTTAAACAAATAGCGCTCCACCCCTGTTAGTCAGAACTGATAAGGGTCTCTATTGCTAAACGGCAGCACACATGCCAAACACCACGATTAGCAATGCAAGAGTCAGCTTGTGCTGTATAAAGCACACCATTATTGGACTCTGGTGGAATTTAGAAACGTTGATCTGGAGCAACCACACAGCTTGTTGTGGAGGACTAATGTTCTTGGATAGGGTTTTATTGTTTGGGCTTGACTTATTCCAATTAAGAAAAGAGTTAACCCTTGACTGCCTCGCACAGAGCCCTGACCCCCAGCAGAAACCTTTCAGAACCCTGGATTTAAATCAGACTTTATCATCAAACATCAGTGCCAAGTGTATTGCATATTGCTGTAATATCCAGGATCTTTTGGCCATTGTATAGCTACTGTATATGATGGACCAACTGTTAACCAGGAGTCTTTTCTGCCACAGTCATTAAAAGTTATTATTTTATAATCCAATTTACCAGTGGGAACAAGAAAAACACGGGCCCCATATACTGTACAGAAGAAACTTAAGATTGACCCACATTGAACCTTGACACTGAAATTCAAAGCACTGCATCATGCTTTCATATGCCTTTCACACCCAAGTGTTCACTTGAAGAACACCTTTCATTCCTTCAAAGACATTTGTATCCGTTACTTTTTGAGGAATCGACTGTTGCAAAAATGCCATTAAAGTAAAGATAAAACAGAAGGGTCTTATGGCAAAGAGGAATGAGCTATATTTACATTTTGGCTGTGAAGGCAATACTTGTAAGCAAGATCAATTAATTGGTAGTTGTGATACTTTAATTTACTTTGCTGATAATCAGAAAGAAAATTAATATCACAAGCCTTATCCTTTTTTTTTTCAAATTATGATGACGAGATACATGTTTTCACTGTTACTAACAGGAATCCTAACATTGAATCAGTGGATAGATTGCTACTCACCGCTACGAAATGCCGCAGCACGTATACGAGCGTTCCCTCTGCAGCCCTCTCTGACAGCACCTTGTGAAACAAGGTGAACTTCTTGGTTCCAATCTCAGCGTAGAGGATAACCACTGGCACTTCTGTGGTATTGACTCCTGGATATGTGTGGTCATTCTTATATAAATGTGGTTTGGGCCTGCAAACATTTAAAAAATATTATTAAAGACGTTTCATGAATACAATTATTATGTTTCTTACAGAAGAACATAAAGTCAGTAAAGCTTCACTCATATAAAAATGTACTGTGAAACTATTCATATGTGTCTGTTATACAGATAGTTTATCGACAGAGGGCAAACCAGTGCATTCAGTGTTACCTGCCTGCAGCTGCCTTCAGGAGCTTCTTGATGTCCTTGGTGCTGCAGCTATGCTGACCATGAATGGAGACAAAGGCAGGGCAAGCCTCAGGCGGAGGCTCATCACTGGCTATCTGTAAAAGAGCGTGGAGGAGTGAAGGAATGATCCATAACACACAAACATCAACATGACCCTGCTAGGGTCTAGCATCGACCTCTCACTCTTTAAAATGGGCCAAACTGAATCACAGCTAAATTAGTTTATTTATCCTCGATATTCTCAATCCCACTTCATTTCAGCAACAAAAGACTATTATACATTCAAGTGCTAAACATCTTTTTAGATTAGAGAAATTCATCAACCAGTGCATTGCTGTCACCAAAATGAAATTACTCCTCATCATTGCTGAAGCTGCAATGTATAGGCTAAGGAACTGTGAACACAGTGTGCTTACATTTCATTAAGAGTCACCCAGTATTATCATCAACTATAACTATGCAGCTTACTGAGTCATATATTTAAAACTAATGTCATTTAAATAAAGAATTTTGAAATAATAAAGTAGAAGTTTTCACTACCATTAATTCAATGAAATGTGTCAAAGAAATTGAAAAACACTGTAAGTAAGGCCTGCAGAGCTTCCTTGGTCAAGAATTGGTTAGACGGACAATATAACAAGCGCTAAAGAAGTGGAGCTGGCTCACTGTAATGTTACGATGCAGCTCTTGAGAGTTATGAAATAATGATACTATTGTAATTACAACATACCTGCTGGGATGCATGAACAGCTGGTGAGTACGACCGTAGGGACATAGCGAATTTGAGGAGATTAACTTGAAGATCTGTGAGGAACTGGCCAGCCTTCTTAATGATCAAATTGTAGTACGACCGCACAGACTCTGAGACACATCAACACAATTTAGAAATAATTAGTTTTTTTTTAGTTTTTTTAAGAGAGGCAGACCTCTCAGGAGTATCAAAAATTAAAATTAATTTTAGATTTACACAACATACCTCCTTGCTTGTATACGGTGAGCTCTTTCACTGTGTCAACAAACTGCCAGAATTTCTCATTCCCATCTTCTGCAATAAACTCACTGCAAAGGAACATATTAGAGTTATTCAGTAACCACCACAGTATGGACTTAAGTAACCATTTTCTGTCTGCCACATCATCTTTTTATATTTTAAGATAATAAGTGGGCCATTACAGGCATGCAGCATGACCAATAGTTTTAGTAACACCATAAAAGGAGAATTTTAAACATATGAACAACTTTTGGCTGCTATTTAAGCTCGTATGAAAATCTAAGATAAAACTGCACTTTATTACACAATTGACTTTTGATTTAAGATGATCTTTTCCCCCCCCAATACATTTTCAAGTTTGTTAAGTTTGCTCAGCTTCTCTGAAAACTTAGGAGGGTGAAGTCTGATGATGACTAACATCCTTTATTCAGTAAAAACATATAGTTACAACAATTAAGTTCTAAAACATTGTGTTAACAATGTGTTGAATCTTGATAAAAAGTAAATGAATGACAGCTTGTAGCCGATAAGCATAAGGTGAAAAGGGGACAACGCCATAACAGAGATCAATTGAATAAAATGACACATTTCTCTAGGTTTTTAACTTGTTGGAAACATTTGGGTTAACGCAAGTACACATATATTAACACAACATAGGTTTAGATGTTTGAGACATATCAATGCTGAAATGTTACATAATGATATCTTCAACTAAACAAATACATATTTTAAGAGGTATAAAAGATGCAATTAGGGGGCTTTGGCCTAGTGATCCCAACCCTGAGATCCTGGCTGTGGCCCTGTCTGTAGGTCTGAGTGCAGCATGATGTGGAGGGGTGAGTAGTACCTTGTTTCCAACAGGAAAGGCGTCATGCTCCACTTTGCTCTAAGACTGGCAGTGACACCTTTGGGTGCCGATGTGACATGATGTATATTCAGCAGCAGCAGCAGGGACAGCACAATAACGTTCCTCATTTTCTCTGGAGAGACGTAACATGAACCTACAGTGGCAGAAAGCAAACACCAGCGTCGTCAGTAGAGGTTAACATTAGCTAGTTATTTTTGCCTTTTGAGAAGTGCCAGTCAGTGCCACGTAGTTACTCTACTATGTTATTAAGTTAACAAGAAACACCGGTGTACGTAGACTTGTATCAAAGCCCTCCAACATGATACACAATCAGTACATGGTTGCGGAATATGCTAGCTACATGTGAAAATAGCATTGACCTGTATTTCTAACTAGACCTTACTTCTTACTACTACTAAAATAACGTACGTGCAATTGGGTAAGACCGACTGAAGTTAGCTGTAGCATAAAAGTAAACAGCCTGTCGTGAATGAAAACGTTATACTACCGTGATTTAGAGACTACAAAGATCACCTACTACAAAGCTGTGTACAATAAAATACATAACCATTAGTAGGCAGTGTTACAAATAACATATCCCTCACCCCGTTAGCGATGCTGGCCACTTTCTTCCATACAAAGCCAGCTTCATTTATTTGGGGCAGCGAACAGCACAGCTAGCTAACTTAAGTTGCCGGGGTAGCAGCGTATTGTGGTGGCTCGCGCTAACCGTTATACGTGTTAGAAACAATTATGAAATGAAAAAAAATCAAATCGTTTCATTATTTTAACTTACGTGTTGTCACCGTGTTTGCCTGAGCACAATAATTAATAGTCAGCCTAAAGTATTCAAAAACCGGACGGTAAAGCTGTAATTTATTCTGGCACAGCGGTAGACAGCTAAAGAGGCTGAGGCTCAAACATCAACCAAACACTGGAGCATGTTGCAGCAGCCAACGTCACACTGCTGAGTGCACACCACTGCACTGAGTTGGTGTGTTAGTGTAATGTTATAGCCTAGAGATGTTTTTGTCTTTGTTAGAAGAAGTACTTGAGATTAGCATTCATTATCATTAACATTATCGGTGAATTTATTTAAACAGATGCCCTTTGTTCAGAATACAATCTATATTTGTTCTTCATAAAGTGTAGGCAGATCACAACAAAGAAACAGGAATAAACAAAACTGAAATACAAAATGAAATAACAATGAATACATAAATAAAAATAAAATAAAAAGTAGCGTTGATATATTTAAAGTTAAATTAGAGCTGATAACAAAACAATGGCTCATACAGTTCATAGGTTAAACAAAACACGGGGATGATGTGACACATATTCCTACACACTAACACTTCTTCATAAACTTACACACACACTCTTGTGGACATGTACATATTTACATGGTATAATAAGCAGGTCAGCATAACAAAAAATTATTAGCATACAGTGGAGCAAAAGAAAACATGCTCAGTGCTTTAGCCCCAACACTCATAATAATAATAATAATAATAATACAATTTATGTTTTTGCAATATGGAATGCATTTTCTCCATCTATTATCAGCTATGTGTTTTTGGTTTCTTAAGGATGTATGTTTTCCATATGTTAACTTGGTTGGTCAGTTCCCACCCTGTCTGTGTTTGTGGCTTGTATGGCTGCTTATGCAGAACCAGAGAAAGGTTGGCAGCGTAGCAATACAACATGCAGTGTACTGTCAACGTATAGGTTACCATTTCACTGCATCCACAATCTTAAAAATAATAATAATTTCTATGCAGTAGGACTAATATTTTAATATATATATATATTAAAATATGCATACAAATTATTATTTTGTATTATTATTATTATATGTAGGCTATATGTATATATATACACACACAAGGTCTTAGGTATGTTTATTTCCACTGTAGGAATTATTTTTGAATAAATGTTGGACTTGCAGAAGAAGATTCATCTTTATTATAGGATCTGGAAGCATTTAGGTATTTTTAATATATGTTTCTCCTTTTGCATTAGTATATCCATAAATGCAAATGTCCTCAACGGAAATCCAATGTTCAACACTTCATGCATGAAATGAAATACTTAAAGGATTTACGAATCAGAAAGCCATCAACTATATGGTCATCTACAATACCTTAAAAAACACATTTCTAATTTGATAATGTAACCTTTGTATAGCTTACACCTTATCTTTCTTTTTTTCTCATCTTTTAGTTTGATTTCTAATCTTTTTGTGTAATTGTATGAAGTAGACCTACTTTGAAGAAGAAATGCAAAAATTGTTGCCACCATTGACAATAAATGAAGATCAGTTAATCAAAAGATAATACATTCGTAAAAAATATGTATAGCCTACCAATGTTTATTGTTCTAATGGATTTCTGAACATAACCATATTGCTGCAAAGAAACCAGATGTTTTTTTTTTATTGTTTCTGTCTATTTTCCTTTTCCTTTTTTCCTTCTTTTTAAGCAAATGTATGTATTTAAAAAGGATGGGCTGTATCATTGCACAAGCTATAAGCATGGAGACCAGTGCTTTTTGTAATCATCAAAGGTCTAACTTGAATGCACTTAAAAAAGTTAGAGTGGATTTTATATTTATGTGGTTAAAATCTCCATGTTGCCTCAGTTCAGTGTCCGTGTGCTTCTGGCTTTGCACAAGATTATGGGGTGGACAGGATGGGATGCAGCCTATAGAGCTCTCTCAGCGCAACCACAGCGAGAGCATAACGCATCTGTCGGCTCGGATGCAGCAGCTTCCTCTCTGCTTCAGTCAGTCAGACCGCCGAGGACACTGCCGGAGGATCCAGCCCCACAAATCTCTGCTGAAGTAAGTCTTATCACCGAAACGAGCCACACTGCGATTTAGACTGGGATCAGCACGGGAAAACACACAAGGAAGGGGTCAAACCTAAAAACTCTCATCATCCGCTGCCTCATTTAAAACTTGATACCGGAGTATGGGAGTCGTCGGCTCGGATGCAGCTCCACACCGGCTTCAGAAGTTGGACAGCCCGCAATTTGAATGCCATGACTCTTGACTTTAGACAACATTTCCAGCGCAGTGCAGTATTTAAGAAACCAAAAGGTGGACTTCTCCCTTGTGTGCCGATTATGTGTCCTCGGAGGCTGTTATTAGCTGATCAACATGTGGCACCTAATGGGCACCTTTAGTCTTTTCTGAGACATGGAGCATTAGTCTATCGATCCCTGAAGAACCCGTGGGTGCTACTTATTATTCACAGTAATGGAATGAAGAAACTATCTCGATATGATGGACGAAAGATCCAGTAAGCTCATCTTGGTGCCTATCTTAGCTGTCCTTTTTGTTATGATAGGCTACCAGTACATATGTCCCGCTGGCAGCAATTCATGCCACTTTAAGGCTGAGGAGAAATTAAGGGGGGTAAGCCTACTTTCCACCCCGTACCAGGACAGCGATGATTTCTACAGAGATCAAGACCTGGAGGATGACAGCCCTCCTAAACTACCGTCCAAATTCAACTTCACCGAAAGAGACCTTGACAGACACGTGGAGTTCAACATCAAAGGGGACGACGTGATAGTGTTTTTGCACATCCAGAAGACCGGAGGAACCACTTTCGGGAGGCACTTGGTGAGGAATATTCGCTTGGAGCAGCCGTGCGACTGCAAGCCAGGACAGAAGAAATGCACATGTCACCGACCAGGGAAAGAGGAGTCCTGGCTCTTCTCCCGGTTCTCTACCGGCTGGAGCTGCGGGCTGCATGCAGACTGGACTGAGCTGACGAACTGTGTACCTGTCATTATGGATAAGAAGGAAGCCCAGAGGAATAAAAGGTAAATGTGTACAAATAGGCATGCAAACACTAGAACCCCACGATAAATGTAAACAATCCAAGTTGTGATTTGTTGTTTTAAGTGAAGAGTATTAGATGGGAAGGTGTTCCTGAGTGATGTAGTTTAGTCAGAAAGTGAGAAACAATACACTGATTGTAAAATGGCAATTCATTGGAACCCAGCACCCAGCAACCAACTCAGTTTGCTAAGTGTTTTATCATAAAATATTGTACCAAGTCAACATTTACCTTCCTTAACCTTCAGAAATGAAATCTGTCTGGCTTTTGTGTTCACATCAGCCTCTCACAATGGACTTGGTTCTGTCCAGCTGTGCCAGTGCTGTTTTTCTACCAATTTGCGCTATTCATAAATTGTACTCAAGCATTTAAAGGAATCCCTTTTCACAGCAGAAATGATGTTTGGAAGCCTGCAGTCCAATTTGGCACACTGCAGTGTTTTCATTGTCTCTGGATCAAAGCTCCAATGGCACCTATTGAACACTGACTGAGAGTTTCATGAAAGCAAACATACTGTGAATTCATAATTGTAAGTTAAAGGGTAAGTGACTGACTCTTTGACTCTGATGGTATCCCCCTCTGTTTTATTAATGGTTAAATTGTCCATAATAAGGGTGTATCACACTCAAACCTGACCCATACACACAGATTCCCCTGCATTGTGTGATTAGTCCCTTGAGGTGTTCTCACTGGCTTATAGAACAGGAGCACTGCTGTTGTATCACACAAAGTCTTTAAATCAGATGCCATCTTATCTCATGACTGACTTCAGATTATCCAAAGCTGTTTGGTTTAGATGGACAAAAGATATCTGAGCGTGAAAGAAAAGTAGAACCTGTTTATTTGATATGCATTTTCCTTCTAACATTTTCTGTTGAAATTGCAGTAGAAAAGACATTTGCCATTGCTAACTACTAATTTGAGAAAATGTATGCAGTTAGTACAATTACTTAAGGCGACCGCATTGTAATGAACCAGTCGCTGCATGAGCAATGTGTAAGTGTTTCTGTGTGTGTGTGTTTTCACTTGGCAGAATAGATGTGTGCATTTTGCAATGCAGTTAGAGTTGCTGATTCTTTAAATTGCATTGCAGACTATTCATTAAAAGAGAAAATACATGTTAAAAGTCTTTAAGTCAGTTGCATGTTCTCAGAGATACTGACATTTAGAAAAGAGCATACACCAAATGTCACAAACACAAGAATTTCCTTTTCTGTTTTGAAAAAAACATCTTACAGTACACTGAAGTACATGAGCACATGATTTATTTCTGCTGTGCCAAGTGTTTCCTTTACTCAGGAAAGTGCTCAGTGGATGCGACAGCTCCTCATTTCACAGCTGCAGCATCTATTCTGCACTTAGGCCTGGCATCCCTTGTTCTTTAGCTGGCTCCCGCAGCATCTATTCTCAGATAAGTCTGCCTCGACCAAGCCTGTTGGCAGACACACTGTTAGACCCCTTCACCAACACAGCATAATTACTAAGATGACTAACGGTTTAATGCAAAATCGTAATAATTTTGTGTGCAATGCCTTAATTAAAATATTTCAAATGCTATATAAGGTCAAAGTAAGAAAAAAAACACCCTTGTACAGTTGAATAGTTAATTTGCAATAAATAATCCATAAAATCTTAACTCTACCTAAGGGTGCAATGGGGAATACTAAGTGTACATCACTGCCAAATTCAGATGGCATACCCTTGTTTTTCGGTTGAGAGCCTCTCAGATTGAGTGGCTTTCTTTCCGCAGTCCCAGGTCCTCACCTTGCCAGCTCTTGAGATGGCTGTAGGGGAGCTGAGGTGGGCTTGGATGGCACTGCCTGCCTGGCGTTGTGTGGCCTTTTAAGCCGGGCAGGGCGTGAAGCACGGAGAGCCAGCCGTGCGGCCCAGGAAAGGTCAGGCGTGTCAGACTGGATCAGTGTGTGTGTCCTGCGGCGTGGCTCCTCTGGAGTTTGCTGTCAGTCAAGGGAGAAAGGAAGCGGGTGAGTTGGACTCTCTTCCGGGCTTTTTGGAGAAACATACCTCTAAGTGCTGTTCTCTTAAGTTGCTTTGTGGGGAGCGTCCTGGCATTACTTTGTCTGCTGCATTAAGAAGGCTTGCTGAGCAGGTTGTTTTCATCTCAAGTGATTTCAGAGACCTTCACTGTGTAGAGCTGCTTAAATTATTTCTTATTGTTACATCCTCATTAGCTATAACTGTTTGGTCTCGAGTAGATGTATTCAATTTAACACACAAAAACAAGGCCAATTGAAAAATGAACATGGAATATGGACGAGTAAACCGTGTCTTTAGAATTGTTTTGACAAGGTCGGTATTTCTGAGAAATACCTGATGTTGCTTTCCATTCAAATAAAACTGAGCTTTTTCGGTTGTTCAGCTTAATATTTGCTTCCATCCTTGTGTAGTCAGAATTTCTGTCGATGAGATTAAAAACAACAATACCTTTTTATTGTTACAGCTGCTCGACGATGAAAGGACATTTGATTATCAAACATAGTCAGAAGTTCCTCCAGCATACATTATACGCCATGAATAAAGTAGCAGTGAACTCAGTGCTCTCCATGTAATATGGGTATTGTCATTTTTCTTTGATCAGATTACTCACTGAATGTTTGCATATGAGCAAATACCAACCACTATTTTTCATATCCCCTGCAGATGAAAGATAATGTTGATGTTTCACGCTAGAGATTCTTTATTTTTTTTAAATGATCACATGTAATACTAATGACAAAAACACATTTGAGATACTTTCAGAAGAGCCATTCAAGCCTTTGTTATACATCATGAAAACTGAGAAGAATAACGATCTTCTGTTTGAGCACAAGGTCCCTCAATCAGAACACAACACATTCATGCTTGTGCATTGTCATTCACACAACAGAAAGAGGAAATTGCTAGTTTAGCTGAGGACACAACATCCTCTTAGCACCCAGAGAGTGAGCACCGTTTGTTTGTTTTTAAGTTAAAATCAGAAGAAGACAAATTACTTGCTGTTGATTCTACCTGATTTATTCAACATTCTTCATCATAGTTTTACTTCTTTACAGATTCCCTGAATATGTGGTTAAATAGCAAATCAAAACATATATTTCACATGGTTGACATTCATAGAAACGTCAAGGTGGATGTTTTGTTGACCAAGTCAATTAATACAATAAATCAGGCTCATGCTGATGCATATGTTTCTTCATGGTGGTATTTTGATGACGTTTAATAAAAAGTATTTGAATTAGCGTAGAACTTAGAACTGTGTTCATATCTTTTCTCAAAAAATGTGGCAAAGCAATGTCTCAATTAAGAAGAGCATTTATTATGCAGATTTGACAATTCAGTCAGCTCATTACTCATGATGTCATTCATCATGTTTTTCTGCCTCTCTGTTAATGACAAGAAAACGCATAAACTACAAAACGGATTTAAGTAAGTTAGTTAATCATAAGAGGAAAAATGATTAGTTTTAGTGTGTATGGGTCCCATAATTCCCGAATGGTCAGGCATAAAACCAAAATCATGTTTGTCTCTCTGGACTCCTTGAATTCTATTTTGTTAAATTCAATACAAATGTATTTATCCCGTCAAGGAATTGTTTACAGCAGCCCACCATCCAGTTGAAAAATCGTACCACTATGTTGTTAGCAATTGAAGTTGGGTTTGAAAATTCCCAAAAAACTTGACTTTGATTATCATGCTGAGGCAGCCAAGCTAACACATTAGTTAATCTGCTCATATGCTTATTGGTGTCCCTTGAAATCTTGCTAATTGCACTATCCCTTGCCACATATTCAGCAGGTACATGAATCTATTTAGATTCAGGCAGTAAACATCCAGAGCAATAAAATAAATATCATGGGTCTTTTTAGACTTATAGTGAAGGGCAGCACAGCCTTTTTCCTGTTTCTATTCCTGTTAGTTGTTCCCCTTTTAACTGTGGCCTCATGGTAATTTTATGCATATGCTGATGTTGCCGTTTTGATCAATTATAAAATCTTCATTAGAGGCTTTTTTGTTGCCTATGCATAATGAATGCTCAGTTCAGAAGTACAAAGAGACCAAAGCCAAAACACAAGTGGTGTGCAGACGCTCTTCGATGCTCTCCTTTGATGAAGCACAGAGAGAGAGAATGTGCCTATGTAGCAATGACAAAGAGGATGTCCTCTGCTGTGATTCTAATGATGTTTTTAGATCACTGTGTCCTCGAGGTTTTTTGTGTCATGTGGACTAAAAAGCTGTCTTGAAAGTTGTGCATATAGTAAAAAAACAATGGCAACTACTGTGATTTCTTGGTTGAAAATTATTTCTTAATGATGTCACAGACTGAAGGATGTTCATTAACAGTTTTGATCATAGTTGCTGTTAATTTGCTTTCAAAATGCTGATTCACAGGGATCATTTACATAATCGTTGTCAGTCTTTTGGGTGTTGAAGGGAAAGTCTTCTATGCTTTATGGCCTCATGTATCTCTGTTCCAGTTTGCTGAAGATCACAAGTTTTGCCAATAAGGGAAACTCTAGCTTAGTTACTTACTCTTACTGTAGCTTTAGTTTAGCTTAGTCCCAATAGATGAAAAGTACTGCAATCAATCAATGTTTATTTTTATTTATTTTGATTTTACTGCAAAACTATTCAATCTCCTGCCTACATGTATTTTCCACCAATCATAACAATAACATTTCCTTAGTTTCTATAACAATCCTACAGGGGTACTGAAAGACAGTTATTACTTACAGGGCACAGCAATGATGTACACCAGTCCTTTGCTGAATAACACCACACATCATATTTTATTCATAATGACTGATACAGCAAGGGCTGCAAACACTTCCATTTACAGCTTGTGTCATTGAACCATGCATGTCTACATCTATCTACTATTGTACCAGCGCATGACTTCTACCTGGGCATCTCCCTGAATCAGCATGTGGGAGGGAGTCATTACCAAAGCCGACCCAAATGAACTTAAACAGCGATTACATTTTGCAT